CACAGTGCCATAAGGAGCAGGTAGGAGAAGGAGGTGGGGCTGCACCTCACCGGTGGGGTCTCTTCGCTCAGCCTCTGCTCCAGGAATAGTTCCCCTTGCTGATTGGCTGGTGGCCAAAAACTAGCTAAACAGCACTCCCCTAGCTACCCTACTGCCCCCACCCCAGCCGAACAGCTGATGGCTCGTGGGCCCCCAAGGACCCCATAAACAGTTGACTGGTGGGTGGGTGCCCCTGCCTTCCCCCTATAGGGGGGCATGCCCCAACTGACCCCCTTCTTCCCCAAGGCCCCAGCCTCTCCTCCTCCCCAGGAGCCCAGCTTGCTGGAGCTCAGTTCTTTCCCCCTCCCTGCCTTGCCGATTAGCAGTCTGTCTCCTTCCTGCTGGGAGACACCCTGCCCCCTTCCTGCCGCACTGGCTATGCAATACAGCATGCTGGGGGAAGCCGGCAAAGCCTGCCTGCAGGAGCCCAGCTTGCTGGAGCTCAGTTCTTAATCTATCTTCCCCTTCCTGCTGGGCAATCAGCTGTCTCCCTCCTGCTGGGGGAGACAGCTGATCAGCTGGGGTATGCTAAGCACCTCTCCTCCAGCTCCTTCCACTGAGCCCAGCTTGCTGGATCTATTGTTGGTCAGTAAAGGGTGCTTCTTTTTGTCTTCTCATCTGCCCCAAGGGTCTCTTAGAAAGTTTTATCAATAGTAGAGGCACACCTTCACAGAGAGGAATTCTGGTATTCCCTTACCTAGATGATTGGCTTCTGAAAAGTTGTTCCAAGTAAAACACTTCACTAGCAACTTGCAAGGCCATAGACCTTCCTCAAACTGGGCCTACAGTTGACTATTCAGAAATATCCACCTTGACCCCTTTACGAAGATTAGAATTAATAGGAGCTTAGCTCAGTTCAATAGCAGCAAGCATCTGCCTCTCAGTGCATTGATTTGTGGCCCTAGCTGACATGGTCAACACAATCCAGATCAGCCCTCAAACTTGGGTCAGGGACTGGCTTCAGCTGTTGGAACATAGCAGCTGGTAGTTCCATTATAGACCATGCAAGACTGCGACTACTTTGCCTTCAGAGGTGGTTTAGGACTGTTTAGTCGCTGAGCATATAGTCTAAATGCACTGCTTTCCATACATCTGTGCAGGAGTCTTGCCCACCCTTCCCTGAAGAATATATAACTATGGATGCATCCCTGTTAGATTGGGGAGCACATTTGGACACCCACACAGCCCAGGGCAGGTGGACCTCAAGAGGAAACTCTGTACATCAACCACCTAGAACTCAAGGCAGTCGGATAGGTCAGTCCCCAATTTTTACCATTGAACAGGGCAAACACATAAAGGTCACGAAGGACAACATGTCATGCATATTCTATATCTGCTGACAAGGAGGGACTCGCTGCACCAGAGCTGTCAAGCTTTGGAATTGGTGCATATGCAATCAGATTGTCCTCACAGCCGCTTACCTTCCAGGAGCTTAGAATGTGACTGTGGATACAGTCAGCAGGCACTTTTCTCAAGAGCACAAGTGGAAGATGGATTCCATTGTGCTTCACCACATATTTTGCCAGTGGCACACCATTCAGGATCCTCCTCTTCAACAAGTCCAACCTCTGCATTCCTTAAAACAGTGTGTAAAGACTGCACAAAAGTTTTTGTCTACAGCAATTTTTCCCCGTGGTTTAGAGAGACATCTCAAGAGTATGGTCTTCTGTTTTTAGTGAACGACTAGAGAACTGGTGGAAGCTTTCTTGGGCATCTTTTGAAGGGTCATGGTGTCTGATTATTTCTAATATCTTTTCTACCAAACATTTGTGTAACGTTTCAGTTAAGACTGGACCTCAACTGTCCCTGGTACCATAGACCAAGAGCTTTGTTGGCATTGGTACTGGCATGAATATAGCAAGATCTGACTTCACTGTTTTCCGCTAGCAGAAATTGGTGGGTTTGACGCAGATGCAGCTCTCTCCTTTTTTCTCTATTTGAAGATTTTCTATTTTTAAAATCTCATAGCCAAAAACCTCTGGCCTCCCTTAATATCCGCAGAGGAGTCTAAGAATCTTGTAAACTTTGGTACCTTTCCTTGAGATTTCAGTTTTGGTCTTTGGAAACTGAATCCTTTCAAGGTCCTGTTTATCGGCATGTCTGAAAGACTAAGGACCTTCCTTTTCTCGCCTTTCTTTCCCTCTTACCATGCTTTTTGAATTAAGATCAGGTATATTATACATATGTCATGTACAGAGTCCTTAGCACAAAGAATTTATACTTGAAAGGTAGTGCGGAGTATGGTTGCCATAATAGGACTATGTTGAGGAATAGTAGGGTGTTTTTTTTTGTTTTTTTTTAAGGAGAGAAAGGGGTTTGTTTTACAATAAGGATAAAGTTATCTGAATGACTCCCACTATTCAAAGAGGTTTTTTGTTTTATTTTAAATATATTAGGGAAGCCTATTCAATGGCAGGATTGCTTTGTCTGGTTTAAAAACAAAAGTCTTGCAACTGACGTTTCTGCTCTCTGGGTCAAAAGAAGAAAAATTCCAGTGAAAGACTGAATATTCAAGTTTCACATTCTGAATTCCCTTCATACTGTATCTTCTGTGTTTTTTATTTTTTAATCTTTGAGGTTTCTGGTATTTGGTGTCCACTGATCTAAATCTGTGGCAAATTTGCACGTACCTTGTGCATGTCATCTCTAGGTCTGAGAAAAGTGAGTGTGCATTATCGCCATCTTGTAGAACTGTTTAGCCCACAGTCATGCAGCAAGCTAGTGGCAGTGATTAAAAAAACAAGCAGGTTGCTTGATTCCAAGTTGTGTTCTAATTTCTATGTGCTTTTGCTTTCTCAGAAAAGGGAATGCCATTTCTTAATCCTTTGATACTAATACATGTTGTCCCTTCATTGTCTGTAAACCCTTCTCCCTTCTAGAATAGGGGAGAGAAGTCCCAGGAATGTGGAATGTTAATTGTAAGAATGGCCTTTATTTTTTTTCCCCCTCGGCTCCCTTCCATTCATATTTTGCTGTTTATTTTTCTGTGTTTTTTTTTTTTTTTTTGTTCCCCTTCCTTATGGAAATCTCAACTTGAGAATGGACTGAGTGGTCAGTAGAATCCAGAGTCTCGTTATTTGCACTGGTGTTACTGTCTGGAGTGGGTGTGGGAGGAGAAGACTAATCCGTATATAATGGCAGACTTGGGCCATGTGAGCCACCTGCCTCCCCTGAGATGAGAATCAGGCTTGTACACAGGTGCCCTCGTTGCAGGCAGAGGAAGCAGCCAAGAAAACAGATCTTTGCTTGTTTTTTATAATTTGGAGATTTGTCTCCCAAAATGATTGTTGCTTACAGCTGGAAGGAGGACAACTGGGATGAGCAAGGACTGAAGAAATTTGACTAGCAGCTGGGCGCAGGGGAAGTTGGCACGGTAGGGAGGCAGGGCCGGTACAAGGATATTTTGCGCCCTAGGCGAAACTTCCACCTTGCGCCTCCCACCCCCAGCCCTCCCCCCGGAGCATCGCTTATTATAAACTTTCAAAAACGAATACTACATAATATGGCATTGTTCATTAGAATTAATACATATTCGGCTTGAAAATGTATTAATTTCATTATTTAGATTACATATTTAATGAAAATAAATTAATAACCTGACAGGGTGTGGGGCTCGCTTGGGGCAGGGGAGTGCGGCAGGGGTTGGCTGGAGACGGGTGTGAGGGCTGGCTGGCTTCGGGCAGGGCAGCGGATGCGGAGCTGGTTGGAGATGGGGTGCGGGGTTGGCTGGAGCTGGGGGTGTGGGGCTGGCTGGCTTCGGGCATGGGTGCAGCAGGGGCTGGCTGGAGAAAGGGGAGTGCAGGGGTGGGCTGGCTTCGGGCAGGGCAGGGGATGCGGAGCTGGTTGGAGATGGGGTGTAGGGTTGGCTGGAGACGGGGCACGGGGGTGCTGCAGGGGTTGGATGGAAGTGGTGCGGGGTTGGCGGGGCTGGCTGCAGGCAGGACAGGGGGTGTGGGGCGGGCTGGCTGGCTTCGGGCAGGGCAGGGGCGATGCGCAGCTTGTTGCAGATGGGGTGCGGGGTTGGCTGGAGACGTGTGTGTGTGGGGGGGCTGGTTGGCTTGGGGCACGGGGGTGCTGCAGGGGTTGGGTGGGGGTGCGGGGCTGGCTGCAGGCAGGGCAGGGGGTGTGGGGCTGGCTGAGGGCAGGGTGGTAGGTACCAGGGCCATCCCTAGATATTTTTGGGCCCCACGCAGCCCCCCCGTGTGTGGGGGGTTGCCCCAGGCTTCCGTGTGGGAGGCCCGGCCTCCGGGGGGTCGGGGCTGGCTTAGGGGGGCAGGGGGGAACCACCCCCCAGCACTCACCAGCGGCGCGGCTGGGGCCAGGTCTCTGTACTTCCTGCTGCCGGTGAGTGCAGCCCTGGCCTTTGTGCAGAGCTCAGGGGAGTGGGGGCAGGGCTGGGCCCTGGGGAAGAGACACAGCAGCAGGGAGCAGTGCAGCGCGGCCGGAGGAGGAATTACATCACTTCCTTGGCGGCTGGAGCTGATCAAAGAGGGTTACACATTTAGCCGGTGGCGGGTGAGCATCCCAGACATTTTGGGCACCGCTTTTTGGCGCCCTCAAATCTTGGCGCCCTAGGCAGCTGCCTAGTTTGCCTAATGGATGCACCGGCACTGTAGGGAGGGGGTGTTATACAAAGGGGAAAAAACTGAGGAAAAAAATTGTACTGTGCTTCTGGCAAGTTACTTTTTTGTTTGCCTATATCTATTTGTCTTGTCTTTTAGATTGTGAACTGTTTGGGTTAGGGACTGTCTTCTGTGCTGTTTGTTCAGTGTCTAGCACAGAAGGCTCCAACGCTTATAGGAGGCCTTCAGGCACTTTTGGAATAAAAATAGAAAACATAATGACCTGATTACATGGAGCTCATTATAAAATGTAACTCCCAACTTTTATAGTTGTACGTTTAAAAAAAGCAATTTGGTTTGCTGGGCAACTTTATTTACATCTACTATCTTATTTTGCAGACAATGGTACATGGACTCAGCTCTGGTTGGTGTCAGATTATCATGAGCATGGATCACTCTTTGATTACCTAAACAGGTATACCGTTACTGTGGAAGGAATGATAAAGCTAGCTTTGTCCACTGCTAGTGGACTTGCACATCTTCACATGGAGATTGTTGGCACACAAGGTAACTTTATAAGGGTTCAGTCTCATGTGACCTTATGATCCTAAAAGGAAATGGGGCATTTGGAGACCTATTTCAATAGTGAAAATTATCAGAATTATAGGAAAGATCTAGCAATTGAAGACCTTGTCCATATTTGAGTTTGTCTGCTGCTTGAGATGGTATCGTTTGAATTGTTGCACAAATGTGTAGTTATATTTGGTAATGGGATTAAGCTGAATGTGTATATCCTCTTACACCAGCTGTGCAGGTATATCCATCTGCAAAAGTGGACAATTTCTTAAAATTGTAAATTATTCTGCAGATCATGTATTATCTGGCAACAAAATGTGACTAGTTTAATAGCTGTTTGAGTGGGGTGTTGTTTTTTTGTTTTTTTTAGATGTTTTTTTTTTAAGAACGTCTAAAAGACCCTTGTGTAGTATCCCGGGTCTTCTTAGATTGCTTGTATGTCTATATATTTCACTCTCAGTGCATGTACACCCAGTGCACCCAAGCTAGGGGCTTTTGGTCAGTAGTACCTGTTGGGACAGCTGTCCACCTCCCTCTGTTTGTTTATTCTCACAACATGTGGTTGCAAGTTCCAGTGATGCCTCAGAGCACAAGACAGGCTGCTGATAAGCTCACTTTCTTCTGTAAATAGTGAGTTAGTATGTAGTTAGCCTTGACTTTTATAGTGTTTCCTTTGTTCTCCTTTTAGACTTTTTTTTGTTTTTAATTTCTGTTCCTGGAGTGATACTTGCTACCAAATAGTCATGCAGAAGTCCCTGGGCTCTAAGAACTATCTGTCTTGTAAGGAAGTCCTGCTTGTTAATGAGCATACTAGATGCCTTATCTGCCTAGGTGATGACCATGTTGTGGATAGATGTTCAGTTTTCCTATCTTTTTGTAAGAAGACTTAAAAATCAAGAGACTCCTGTCTCAGGGGTTACTCATGGAGAGGAATATATGCTTGACCACCAATCCAAGCCTTTCTTGGACAGATAAGTGAAGTGCATTGCCTCGCCTCCTAGAAGTTCTCTGGCAGCTGTTTCTACTCAGCTGCTCCTTCACTGAAGCCCTCAACCTCTGATAGAGGGAGAAGAGGTACTGGTCTTTTGTCGTTGGGCCAGTCATTAAGGGCCCCAAGACATCCAGTTCTTCAGAGCTCAAGGGTAGTTCAAGATCCAGAAAGGATCCTCACACACCTGTTGGAGGCTCCACTATTGTATCTCAGCTGAAATGGTACCCCAGAAGCTGTTTGGTACCAAGCTAACTTCAAGAGCACTACAGCATTGCTTGCCATTACCATCTATATTGGCTCATTGGCATAGGTACTGATGAAGCAGGGACCTACTGTACTATCTACTCTTCAGGTACAAATGACCCCAGCACAGAAACCACTGGGTGCCATCAACTCCTCCAGCAATTATGGGAGCCAGAGACTTACTCTGTATGTTGGCACCAGACTTTCCTATGCAGGCCACTCAGACAGTGGCCTCAGTACTGGCAAAGCCAATCATACCTCTGAAACCTTCAAATATAAGGGCTCCAGGTACACCGACTGGCACCACATGAGCCTTACCAGAGGAGTATTTTTCCTGCAGAAGTTGCCCAAGAGAACCTTAAACTGTTGATTAGATTACACACAACTGGGACTGGGTTAGTAGCTTTAACCATCAATGGAGGATTGTTGGACCATGCCAAGCTTCTCCGGCACAGACTTCAAAGAAAGTGGATTGTTGCCACCAGATGGCAGTTCTTTAGTCATCCTGCTCCAGGTAGTGTGGTGGTGGGAGCAGAAAACAGGAGGTCGAAGCAGGAACATTACAAATTACAAAAAGACTAGGAGCCAAAGAGGACTGATTCCTTTGGAAGGAAGACTTATTCTGCATCTAGCCTCCAAATGAGAATCACTAACTAACGGACTTTATTATTGAAATATGACTTTATTAGCTGGGCTTTACTGAATAGTGTATGGAGGAGGAGTTTAAATCTATTGTCACTGAAGGCCAGCTAGTAGCCAGGACATGACTGCAGTCAACTCTCAATGCAGCAGCTATAGCCTTCAGATCCATGGCAGTTTTCACCATGCAGAGGTCTTTGTCTCCACACACAACATACACCAAGGGAAGCCCTAACCACTGTTGAGGGCCTGCCCTCTGGTGGGTGCCGCCTCTTCAGCAAGAAGACTGAGGCTTTACATGCCATAAAGAATCGAGAGCAACATTAAGGTTACTAAGAATGTATGCCTCAGCCCCAAAAGAAGGCAGCATAGGCCTCAATACCATTGACAACCTAGCTTCCAGCCTAGGAAAGCTGATTCCTTGAAAGCAGGATAAGTTTCTACTAAGAAAGTCATAGGCTTCTGCATCAACAGGCTTTACCCATCAGCCTCTTCCAACATCAAGGCAGCCAATTTGACTGCTTCATCAAGAGCAGCACTCTAGTCATTTTGATCTTCCCTATCTGTCTGTGATTTGAAAGCACCACACCCTACACAGTATTGCAGTAATATTTGTACAAAATATGCCTTGAGTTATTTTGAAAACTAATAACTTGCTAGTCAATATAATAAGGAAATGTATGTAGCAAAATTATATGCAGTTATGAATCCTGCCCCCTTCTCTCCCCCTGTGGTACAGTTAGCAAAGACAGCCCTGCCTTAGCAAAAGTTGTTAAACAGATCTATCCTAAACAAAGGACTGTGTTTACCTCAATTACATACAGTAGTAAATAGGGTCCTCAAGACAGCTGTAGAAGGAGATGGCAGGAAACCAAACAATTTGCAATTGAGTAAACAAGTGTGTGAAGAAATAAAGCATGGAGCCTTGTTCACCACCAGATTCCATGTTGCCTTCCTCATTGGATAAACTTTACTTTGAGGGTTAACCTTCAGAAGAATTTACTTCACAGGTTCACTGAACTATAAACTTAAGGTTTTCTGCCCCTTTATCTCTTTCACCTAAGAAGATAAAGGCCCCAGCACCTTTGGGCCTCTGGGAGAGAGTCTGATCGAGGAGCGGATCACTCACCAACCTGCTGGAAGACTGGGGGTGAAAAAGGCCATCTTAAATAAAGTCTTGAACCGAAACTTGCTAGATAAAGTTTTAGATGTAGATACATGTTTTCACTTTTATTTGCTGGTAACCATTTCTAAGTTACCTTCTACTTGAATTGACTTAAAAACCTATCTTCTGTTTTTGTTTTTAATCTAAACCAATCCAGTGCTGCATTTAAACTGAACTGTTTTGTAGCTCCAATTCAAGTAACAAACTGTTGAATATTGACTCCTTTAAAAGGGCAATGAACCTTAATATCCCTCTGATTGTTCTAGTGCAGGGCTGGACTTTTCACTTTGTGGGAAAACTGGGCTGAGGAGTGTGTGGAGTCACCATACCAGTTCTTAACCAAAGGTGGTGGAAGCCAAGAGAAATCTGTGGTGTTACAGGCAGGCTTCAGGATCCAAAGCATTGGGCCAGGTCTGCCCAAAACTTAGAGTCCATGCTTGTTGCTGGCTGTGGCCATCCCAGGTGGAGAGTCAGAGGGGCAAGGGATTGTGAGGCACTTGTAAGTCCAAGAGGTGACAACTCTTCACTGCTCTGGATTGCACCCCAGAATGTGACTGTCCCCTTCTTTGGGGAACCTGTTGTACCTCAGTCTCTGGAACTCCATAACTATTGATTGATGGTTCCAGACAGTCTGTGGTACTGGGATACACAATCCAATTTCAGTCCTTGCCCTACCTCACCCACCTTCCCCTTTCTTCTTCAGGGACCATTTTCATGAGATGGTACTGCTTTAAGAGATACAGTGTATTCTAGCTCTGAGAGCAGTAGAGGAGATTGCTTTACAGCATGTGGGAAGGGGTTTCTACTCCAGATATTTTTTTCATACCCAAAAGGGGGACTGGTGGTGGGGGAGGGGTCTGAGGACTACCCTGCACCCAAGAAAATTGAACCTCTGGGCACAAGTTTGGGACTTCTGCATTTGGAACGACATCACTATCAAAGCTTCATGTCGCTTGACATGCAGAACATGTTGGTGGATCAACTCAGGAGGTACTTAGTTGAAAATCCTAAATGGTCCTGAAAAACAAAGTAGTGTGGATATTCAACAAATAGGGGTTCCCCAACATCGATCTGTTTGCAACCAAGAAAACAAAATGTCACTTCTGCTCCAGGGCCAGCTAGAACCCAGGATCACTAACACATGTGTTCTTCTTTTTACATGTATTCCTATTTCCCTGTGATCTAGAAGTATTGTATGATTATTAGTGTTATCAGAAAATTGAAACATAACCAACTGGAATGATTAATAGCCCTAGGATGGCCACAGCATTATTCATGCTTTGATCTTCTAACCCTATCACTACAACCTCCAATTACTTTATTGTTGGTCAAGGACAGGCTCCGAATCATGACTAAATTGTGCACCCTGAGCTTCAGTCTCTGTCTCAATGTGGATGATGAGTGTCTAACTGCATTGGAGAGTGTGTGTTCACATAATGTTCAAAATGTCCTCACTAGCAGCAAGAGTCAAAAGTAGAATCACTTTAATAGCTAAGTGGGGAAAAATGCTCCACTTGCACCCATCAGTCTCCAGTCAAAGTGCAGGTCCAAGTTATGTTAAAATAAGGCTGGAGGGTTTTTGTTTTAATCTCACCTGACAGCCATCTCTTGCATTCCCTCTCCTCTCCAGGTATGTTCAATGTTCTCCCATCCCATGGTAAGAATATTTTTAAAAGGCCTCATAAGGGTTTACTCACTAACAGGAATCTCTTCTTTCCTGGGACATTAATTTGGTATTAGCAGGATTTATAGGACTGCCCGTTGAGCCCTTAGCCTTGTGTTCTCTCTTCTACTTATCACCTGAGACAGCTTTTCCAGTTGTAATAACAGTGGGAGATCTGCAAGCTTAAATAGCAGGCTCCCCCGTTGCTGTTCAGGGCAAGTGTTCCTGTGTTTCCCCTCCGTGGTCCACCAATAGCACCACTCTAAGCTCCCAGCTAATCAGCTGTCACC